ATAAGTTTAATCAAGTGAAAACAGAAGTTGTTTATACCTAAAAATAACACAGTTTACTTGTATCCAAGAGAACAAACAAACAAGAAGATTATCATCCATAGGCGATTTGAAAAAACAAAACACAAAAAAAACAAAGGCGGGCAAATAAAAATAGAACAAGAATGTAAATAAATCAAAAACAATGTGTGTGTGTTTTTTTTAAGATGAGTATTATTAGTTTTCTTGTTTTTTTTGTTTTCATTATATTTACTCTTTTTCTTCTCTTTCTAACTGAATGAAATAATTCATTTGATCTTGTTTGTTTATATCTTCTCATTGTTATTTAGGACTACAATTGATCAGTCTCATGTTGGCCTATATATACATTCTATGCGTATTGCTTCGATATTGCCGCCTAAGATCACAAGTTTTATAAGCAATATTGGATAATGGTTAGTAGTGGGATTTAGAAAGAGTGTTTCATCGTATTCGGAACTTGTCAGCTGAATGTAATTTCGTCTCAGAGTTGATGGTCACTTTGGAAGTCGAAACCAGTGCCGTTCGCTTCAAACAACATCGCGCTGTTCATTTAGTTACTGAGTTCTGATAGCTACCTGCTTTGGCAATGGGGTACAGTTTAAATTTGTCCACTGCTAGCCACTATCCATCTTTGAATCAATTAAATATATTTTAGGGAAAGAAAATCAGATTAGAATAAAAAATAAACAAAAATCATCTATAGTTTCAACGAGTTTTCTTTTCTGCTGTTACTATCATGAATAAATTTTAGTTAAATAATCAATGGAAGCATTGAATAACTATTTTGATCTATTTTGGGACTCTTTAGTGGTACCATTCCACAATATTTCAACCCGTGACCGAGAAAGCAAAGGAGTTTTCAAGTTCTATACTAGTAAATTCGGTAATAAACATTCATAAATTCCATTTTATCGGTATCCTATTATCGGAATAACAGCAGTTACTTTCAACAGTTCTACTGTTTAGATCATGAGTAAACTGAAGCTAGACCACCATGAAAATCCTGGAACCACTGGACAGCCGTTTCATTTTAATATGGGACTCCTCAGTAGTGCGCGTCCACGATCCCTCCCTGCTAGATTCGAAACCAAGATCTATCGTCTCGCGAGCAAACGCCTAACCTATAGACCACTGAGCCATGAATTAGCTGTTGTTGTCATTTCAAATGTTTTGGTACGTCTCATTAATTCACATTATTATCTTTTTCAAACAAAAGAGTTTCATTGGAGCAAGAAATATATCGACCTCGTTTTACCATTATCTGTCAACAGCTAGGAAACCAACGAAAATAAGAAAGGAATGAATAACTGTTATTTGCTACTCACTAATGAGAACATATGCAGAACCCTATCTTGGAAGAAAAGTTTTCAACCATTCTCAGGCTAATGGATCTGTTGTATTCTTACTTTCAACCATGATAACTGTCTCAATATAATTTTTTAGAATGGAAAGTAAACTAGATCATACTTCTAAAATGTGGAAATTAAAACAGTACCAAATTATAATGAAATATATGTCTCTATTTATCAGTATTCTCAGTCCTTAGAAAACTTAATATCTTAATAATCTTAATAATACAAATACATTCTTCCTCTTTAATGTCTCACATCAACTCGGCGTCCAAATACTGTGAAAAACATACGCTACTATTTGAAAGTCATAAATTATCTGGAGTTGCAAAATCTGAATCACTATTTTCCAGCTCACTAGCATGAAAGCCTACAAGACTTTACTGTAAATACATCTCAGTCGCGGCCCGCATAGCTCAATGGTGATGTCTCTAACTGTGAAGCTGTGTGACACAGGATCGAATCCGTCAGGAAGCATCAGTTCCCTCAAGATAGCAAGTACACCTTGCTGAACGAGTGTCAAATGGCACGAAACCTAGATACAGGGTTTCCTGTTAACTACCTCCAACTACCATCTTATCTCAAAATAATGTACACAATGTCCAAGTCACCTAAACTAGTGACCACCTTGCAACTTAGTCGATAAGATTAGATTTGTACTAAGAAGGATCTGACCTACATAACATTGATCACAACCCAATGATCAATCAATTGTAGTGACCTGACTATTGTAATATTGCATCCTCAATGAGTTAATGAGTGTTTACTAACTATTAAGAAGTAACAATGTATGACATTCTATTTTATAATGTGTGTCTGATGAAATCTCAGCACGATTCGAAAAGCTCACTCGGCTTTTGCCAACTTACGTCACCTATAGAGAAGATGAGTTGTCCGTCTATCAATTCAGAGACGAGTATACTGCGCTTCACATCTTTCTTACTACGAACTAATTATTTGTTTCTGTAATATGCCCGTATATGCAATCTTTCTTTTATATATTACCATCATTGAATTTGGTGAATTTGGTGTTGATCTTGTTGTGCTAATGAGGTATGGCAACTTGGACCGATGCACATTTTCACCTAGTCCTACATTGTAGCTGACTGACTGACTAATTTTATAATGTTTGCTTAGTTATAGATAAACTATTCACACACACACACACACGCACACACACTGAAATAATTGGACATTTTTCATGATACTTACATTTTAATTTTTAATAATATTTTGTTTTTGCAGCCTTTAGGCAAGTATTTTTAGAGGGAGAGAGACAGGGGGAGAGGCAGAGAGAGAGGGAGGGAGAAAGAGGAAATTTTTTCTTATATATATATATACATGTATATAGTCAGTTTATTTAGCCTTAATTTTCTTTATTGCCTTAAGTCTTATTACCATAATGTAATTTATTATTCCAATACAATTAGATACTGAAGAAATAATTGAAAGGTACAAAAATTTTTTTCAGTAATTATGTAATATATGTAATATTTGTAAATGTAATTCATTCGTTAGTTTTGATATAAAGGCGAAGGATACTACTGACAAAAACTAAGTTTTCTATTCAATTTCCTTGAATCGCATTCCCTCTCCCTACCTCCCTCTCTCCCTCTCTCTCTCTCTCTCTCTCTCTCTCTATATATATATATATATATATATATATATATATATATATATAACCATTATGTTATGACGTAATCAATATGTTTATGATATATTAGTTTAATAAAGTGCCTATTTATTGTCAGTCATTCAATTACGGGCAGTGATTTATATGAAATTAAAATAGACAAGTCTTAGATTAAATTGGACATTCTAATGTTGTTTTGTTTTTTTTCTAATCAAAATGTTACTTAATTACGCCTGTTACTAACTCCGCCTGTA